TGCCACCATGTCCAACTCATAGTCTCTAAAAAAAAAAAAAAAAAGAATCAATCAATCAATCAACCACCCTGTGCCACACACACCTATAATCCAGCTACTCAGGAGCCTTGGATAGGTGGATCATAACACAGCCAGGCAGTGAAGCCAGAACATGTCAAAACAAAAAAAGGACTAGGAATGCAGCTCCAGGAAAATGCCCTGGGTTCAGTCTCCTACAACAAAGATAATAAAAATTTAAAACAAAGATTAAGAATGAATGGGAAAAATACATAATGATAATATAACTGGGGCGGCGAGATAGTTCAGTGGTCTTAAGCGCCTGTTTAGGCAAGCTTAGGCAAGTGCAGGGATTGCAGTACAATCCCCAGGACCACATGCTGTGCCAGTCCCACCCTCAGCCCCCAGCAAGGGCTGAGATGGCCACAAAACAATAAATAAATAAAAATAAAGAATTGCAGTTTGATTTTTTTTTTTTCTTTTCTTTTTGAGACAGGGTCTCACTATGTAGTTCAGGCTGATCTTAAACTCACTATGCAGTCCCAGATTGTTTTAAACTCCTGGCAGTCCTCCTGTCTCAGCCTCCTGAGTGCTGAGATTATAGGTGTGTATCACTACACCCAGCAGAATCTTTTTTTTTAATTATAAAAATACTAAAGAAGTTACTGTGGATATAATTCAAGGGTAGGGATTACCTTCCTACATGTGAGGCCCTGGATTTGATCCCTGGCAGTGCAAAGAAATAAAGAAAAAAAGGAGAGAGGAAAAATACCAGTGGATGTAAGTTTGTATGTTAAAAATAAAAGCTCAAAATTTTTTTTAAATCACATTAATTATAGGGTAGTAAAATGATGTTTGCAATTGAATAGTTTTTCTTTCTTCCTTCCTTTTTTTGCTTTTCTCTCTCCTAGGTATTGAGCACTGAACCCAGGGCCTCTGCACTGAGCTCACGTCCCCAGCACCCTCCCCTTTTTTATTTCTTATTTTGAGACAGGATCTCACTAAATTGCCCAAGTTGAACTCAAACTTATGATCCTCCTCCCTCAGTCTCCCAGAGTGCTGGGATTATGAGTGTGTACTATCAGGACTGGCTGTTTCTGTTTTTGTTTTTTGGGGGGGCAGAACCAGGGATTGAACTCAGGCCCTTGTGCTTGCCAGGGAAGCACTTATTCTACTAAGCCATCTCCCCAGTCCAGGACTGTTTGTTTTTGTTTTTGAGACAAAGACCCCCTTCAGGCCAGTGAATACCAGGTTCCCCTTGAACTCTTAACTTGCCTGCTTCACCCTCACAAGTGCTGGTGCAATATAATTCTTAACATATTTTCTATGGTCAAAACACCTAATCACAAGTGAATTTAATAATGGAATTTTTCCTTTTTCAGAGAAAAAATGTCAACCTTTAAATTAAAAATACTTGAGAAAAAAAAATACTTGGGGCTGGAGAGATGGCTCAGTGGAATAAGCGCTTCCCTGGCAAGCAGAAGGACCCGAGTTCAATCCCCGGTTCCACCAAGAAAAATAAATAAATAAAATTAATTAATTAATTAATTAAAAATACCTGTAATGCTTGAAGATCTTTGAAGCAGCTATCACCCAAATATCCTGTATCATATGATTTCCATCTAAAATGAAGAAAAGAATAATTATATTTTTAAAACTGGTAACTTTTTTTTTTTTTTAGGAATTGAACAGGTTCTTCACACAGAGCTTGAGAAATTTTTTTTTGAGATAGGGTTTTGCTCTGTAATTCAGACTGGCCTCGAACTAATCAGTGTAGCCCAGGCTGGCCCTGAACTCAGGGTAGTCCTCTTGCCTCAGTCTCCCTAATGCTGGGATTATAGGCATACACAACCATGCCTGGTGTGCAGCACTTCTGAAACATGGTCAGTCTCACAAAATTGTCTAGGATGGCCTCAAACTCCTGCCTTAGAATCCCAAGTCACTGGGATTGCTGTTGTGTACCACCAGGCCTGGCTATAATTTTTCTTTGTTATCTTTTGAGATAGGGTTTCACTATGCAGTTCAGGCTGGCATAGTTCTCACTATGTAGTTCAGAGAACAAGACTGAACTACGGAACAAGACTGTCTAAAAACAATCTACTACTGGGCTGGGGAGATAGCACAGTAGAGTAAGTGCTTGCCTGGCAAGCACAAGGGCCTGAGTTCAATCCCTGATTCCGCAAAAAAAATAAATAAATAAAAATAAAAATAAAACAATCCACTACTACCATTAACAACAAAATCCTAACTTAGGAAATAGGAAGTATAGAAAAGGGAGGGCTTTAGATTAGAGATAAGAACTTGAGTGCCCTTTTTCTCTTTTTTTGAGACAGGGTCTCACTATGTAGTTCAGGCTGGCTTTGAGCTTACTCTGTAGCCCATAATCAAGACCATCTTCCTGTCTCAGGCTCCCATGTGATGGGATGACAGGCACATACCACCATGTCCAGCTGCAAAAAAAAAATATATATATATGTATATATATTTTTTAAAATTTATTTTA